ACTACGATGACACAAAATAATTTGTTACTATTATTATGTTACTATTATTATACACTATTATCCCCATCATCATCGTTTAGTCAGTTTGATATTTGAAATTGAAACAAATATATTACTTGGATAACTAAATAAGCATGTAAACACAAATAAATACTACTAGTATTTCAAACAAAATAATTTAATTGAGTTGGTTTAGTTAATTCTTAATTTAAAAAATTTTGATAGTTGACATGAATGAACTATTACCTTTCTTTGTACAACTAAAGAATTGTTGAATTAACTATTCGATCAAACAACTATACATTTAGTTCGTACAATCAATTTTTTTCTCAGTGTAAGATATTTTTATAATTTATTAAGTTACAATTGTAATAAATTAAGAATTCTTTATTTGATAAGAAGATATAAGACATTTATGTGATACAGATGTTTCGTTGATGATTGACAATTTGAAAAAAGCAATACCATGATAGTTTTTAGTCGACGCGTATCCCGTAATTCTTCTAAGATATACATAATTTAATATAATTATACTTTTAATATTTATAGAGAATTGTTCCGAAAATATTATCAAGACTCATACCGGATGTCAATGTTGTGAAGTAACATGTTTCTCAGAAGGAAAGAGAGAGCTAGCGTAAGTTAAACAATTTGTGAAATTTAGTGTTTTAGAGAGCAGATGTTAGTCTTTTGTAAATTTTAGCTGCCCTTATTACGTGTCCCCTGTATGTCCCCTAGAAGCGATGGAATATTACGGCGTAGATTATACAAAAATATATCCAGATTGTTGCGCACGTGCCATTTGCAAAGATGATGTAATTGCAGATTAATATAAGTGCAAATTATAAACATACTGTTGCATAAATAAAAAACTATATGTAGAAACTTATCGCGTGAGTGTACACACACAATGACCACTTCCTAATAATCCGACTTTTATTTCTTTGATTTTTTAAATTAATGCAAAAACTTTATAATTATACAAATAATATTGTATTCATTAGAATTTGATATTAATTAATTCAATAGCGCAAGAATGCATCAATTTAAAAACTATTTTTTGCAAGTATATTCCACAATTGCATATTTCCCATATAATAATAATATTATGTAAAATCAGAATTTATAAAATTCTTAATTTTATAAACCGTAATTAATACGTAAAAATAAATTACACAAATACTAATCTGATTTTAATTTATAATAAATTTCTATATTGTGTCTGCATAATATCTATATATATACATTCCAAATATAAAACCGGTTGAACAGAAAAAAGTAATGTTATTCTAATTGTAAGACGTAAAAAATAATAACAGAAGTGTGAACGAGTATTATGAATTTCATAATTATCCAATACTGACTAATACTGATATTAACTAATGCTTTAAATGTACAGTACCGATCAAAAGTTTGGACGCACCTGTATAAAACGGTTGTGCGTATTCCTTTCTTACTAATATGAATAATTCTAGTAATTTGGCGATTAGAGTAGCCCTGCTTATGCAAAATGATGACCTGCATTCATTTTTCACAACTGCAATTTGGGTTCTTACAATTAGAGACATTCTAAATATCAGAATTCGTGTATGAAATTATGAAATAAAGATTATATTTTAATATCGGATTTTTGTAGCATACTTGTACAACTTTTTAACTCAGCGCCTATGTTTGTACTGAACGGCCAGTATTTTGCGATAAGTTCTTGTTTGATGTCTTACGAATAATATAAACATAGAAGATAGTGGTGCGAACCAATTCTTTTTATAATATATTTACATTACTCGGCACAATATTCTTAAACATTATATTTTAGATATATTATTAAGCATATAACTATCATTTCCATTGCGTCAAACTCGCTTTTATTAAACAAATAAAAAAAATCGTGTAGTGCGTCCAAGCTTTTGACTGATACTGTAAAAACGTATGCTGTTTTGTGTTAATATGCGGATATAAAAATGTTAAATCTTCGTAAAGACTGTTTACACATATAGCTAAATTTTAATAAAATTTGAACTTTTGTGTTATCTAATCTTTTTAGAAAGATCAAAGTTCAAAATAATATAGACACATATTAAAATTTGCTCTCGACATTGTGCTTGTCTCAGTCAACGTAATTCAGCAAAATGAACCACTTCGGAACTTTATGTATACTTTCCATCTTAGTGCATTTCAGTAAAGCAAAAACTTGGCGTGCCCGCATTTTATATACATCTTATCAATTAAATATTAATATAATCCGGACACGCCAAGTTTTTGCTTTACTGCAGTGATCCCATTGGTCATTTTAGTCACTTTAAGCCTGTTTTATGAAACTTAACATAATTGTAATTTCAATAATTCTTTTTAATAATTGTAATTTTAACAATAAATACTTATATAGATTTTTCTTTATAAATATTTCATATATCTTATTTTTTATACTAAAAAAATAAACTAAATTTTTCACAGGATTTAATTGGATATTATACGAACATCGATTTATTGGATTGCCGTTACAGGATTGGCAATTTAATTGTGATATTATGTTACTGCTTGGTTTAGAGCTGTGTAGAAGCATGCGATTTGCGGCCGGCGCGGCCATGCAGTCTATTTGAATCGAATATAATTGTAAGATTTACATATTAAAATATTATGGAAGCATCAAAATTCGCTTTAATTGTTGTTGGCATTGTCTCATCTTAATTGTTTGTAAACTGAATTTGATGATTAATCGTGTAAAAATAAATTTTCTATTTTTATTTTTTCTCGAATTAGGTTTAATTTTTTTTCTCAAGAAACTTATTTCTTTTCCATTTTTTTCCGAAATACATATCTTCAAGTATTATAACTTAGGATGTACTCTTTTTTAATTTATTGTATAAAAGTTATACATTTTTAAATAAAATTATGTTTCTTTAATTTTTCCGTTTTTATTCCGATTTGAATTTGTAAAAAGTAATTATGTAAATATTTTTCGATTTCTATGACGTAGGTACAAACTCATTGTTATAATATTTGTTATTATATGCTTTTGCAAGTATATAATAATTTTTTGAGATTTTATTTTTACTAGAATAATGTAAAACCTACAGTGATACTTAAATCCTTAAGAAAATTGAAAACACATGTTGCCAACAAAAATTAAGAGCTATCAAATATATAGGAATACAGAGTCCGCGTTAGGCTGCTTGTTAACAGAAAATCGGAGTAATTATATAAGATAAGAGTAATGGAGCATTTTTGTGGGCATACTATTGCTAGGAGTGAGAACACATGAGAGGATCTTGAATTCAAATCTCGATTGGCTCCGATAATTTTTTCCGTCCTTCATAAGAAATTGAAAAAAAAAAGAGATGGAGAAAGAAGCTAATATTGTATTTATCAAAAAATAAAGTATAAGTTTATTGAAAATTTAATTAGGTGAAATTATAAATATTACAATGATATTATTCTCATTTTTACGTTCTTCTCTTTTTTTTCATCTCGATCTTGTGTAGAATGTAGAAATACAAATGCTACGGAGTCGATCGAGATTTAAACTCAAGATATGAATTAATTCTCCCTCTTAGCGCTTATTGTTAGCATATGCTCACCCACTTGTGCTCTGTTACTTTTATCGTATAATTATTAATTCTGATCTTTCGATCATTAATGTCAAGAGGCCTTATAGCTGTTAGCCCATGCAGTCACTATAGGAAGCTAAAATAAAGGAGTTTAACTAGAAAGTAGAAAGAATGAGGGAGTTTTCATACTTGGCATATTATAGTTATATGTAGTTTGGTACCTTTTTATAACAAATTTACATTTTGCCACCAAAAAATTGACCCGTTACATTAAAAAATTAATTTAAAAATCGATCAAAAATCAGTATTTCACATATCTCGTTTTCAAGTGTATCTATCGACAAAAATACCTCTGTAATAAATTATATAAGAGAAGAAAATTTCTTACAGATTATGTCTAATAAATTTTTTTGTCAAATCAATAGCTTATCTATATTGTATTAGTCCATCAAAAGTGTAATGACGTAAATTTTTCGATGGGATCGCTCCGGAGCGATTAATAATGTCACATGCTTTATTTTAGATTTCTCGATTAGATGAGAGGAGAGCATGTAACGTTAGAGCGATAAAACCTGTTCCGTTCAAAACGCCATTAAGACTTTATTCTCAAAAAATTTTGCATATGAAAATACGGAAATATATTTTCAAATGCGTAATTTTTCGAGAATAAAGCAGGGTTGTGTCGTAGATTTCAAGATTACGTCTACACGGATTATTTACGTAAAATCTACGTGATGTTTACATTGTCTTTTTGCTACGTAAACAATCCAGACTTGTAAACTATATAGACTATTATAAATTGTATCACTAATATATATAATATAAAAGAATTAAATTATAATAATATAAGCAGTCTCTACCCACAATAGAAATGTCCAAAAATGTATCTAGGAACAGGCTAAAAATACCACGACATCTTTAAAATATATAATTCTTTGATGTATTTTGAACATTAATTTAATTACGAGATTAAGATTAAGAATGTAACCAGCAAATTTTTCTTACTCAAATAGTAGTTTTTTTTTATATAAACGTTAAATTATATGTATTTATTAAATGAATAAATTGTGGTCTACTGACTGTCTACATAGATGACACTTTATGCAATAGTTTACGTTGCTATACGTAAACGTAGAGTATTATATTTTACGCGTAGATGCACAATCAGAGTTGTGCCGTAGATTTCAAGATTACGTCTACACGGATTATTTACGTGAAATCTACGTGATGTTTACATGGTCTTTTTATTGCGTAGACAATTTAGACTTGTAAACCAAGTAGACTATTGTAAATTGTATCACTAATA